ATTTGACGATCAGATACAAATGTCAATCATTTAAATGTTAAACAATCATCATATTCCTGACATGTTTATATTCCAGCTATATTACTATAAACAAAACTTTATATCTTAAATTTGATAACTAACGGGGACTGTGCCATGCATGGCTTGTCTTTGTTATAGGTACCACAGTGTATTCACATAAAGCAATATTGATTGCAAGATGTGATGTAATGTCAGCCATGTTTAGTGGACGATTTGCAGAGAGTTCAAGTAACAAGGTAAGTTATAATAATGATGCTCATATTGATCTTGTTTGTTTTGAGATTCTTAAATTTAGTTGTTTATTAGTCCTTGTGTTTGGAAACCTCTGCAGGTGTGAGCACATTGAAACTTCATAAATACATGAAGTATCTTAAGCGACTTATCCACATCCATGATTTGATTCAAGTAGGCTGCATGGCGGCCATTTAAAAAAAAAATTTAATTTCTGCCATCCCAGAACCAGAATTTTGTGTAAGGATGTATTTTGTTCAAACTTGGTACATACATCAGACATTATGGTTCTTGTTAATTTTGTTTTTCAGAGTGAATTCAAACTGGCTTAAAGCCATAATTGTGTGAAAACTGCTATGAGAGCAACAGCCTAAACATAATGCAACTGAAAAGTGGAAAAGTATGCTGAGAGTTTATTGACGCAGCAAAGTAATATTAGAATTTTTACCAAATGAACTGTTTTACTTTCAATTGCTTCTTTGTATTGGTGTAATAGATTGAAATACTGAATAGCAGACCAGAATGTTTCCTTGCATTGATGGAGTATCTCTACAGTGACCATTCACCGATTGAGGATAATGACTCAGTTGGTATTGTGGTACTAGCCAATCAGTTTAGTCAATTGAGACTCATCAATTTATGTGAACTGTACATCACTAAAGAGATTGAAAGGTCAACAGCTGCTAACATCGCAGAGGCTGATATTGACGTGATTGGACTGCTTCATAGTGCACAGGTACATAATAATAACCACAATTTTTCCCCATTTTTGTTTTTAGACAGACACAGTAAATTGGGTTCCATGTAATTGTCCATTTATCACATTTTTCCAAACTTGGTAGATAGTTGATATATGATGGTACACACATGCCCCTCATATATATGACCTAAAATAAGCTTAAAAACCTATATTTGGCTCCGCTGTTGACTGTGTTGTAGAGTGGAGCTTATTTTATCAGTGATTGTCCATCAGCATCTGCATGAACTTTATACTTTTTCAACTTCTTCTTGAAACTGCAAGTCTGATTACTTTGATATTTTAATTGAAATGTGCATTGCTAACAGCAGAGCTATCTCATCATTTTTTGAATAGTTTGAGAAGAATCAGTCTCTGCAACTTGAAGACAATGCTCTATATGTTTAAACAAGCAGCCTCTTGACTGAGTTAGCAATTTAATGCACAAATCTGAGAGAGGTCTAAATCAAACAGACTTGCATTTTTTAACAAAATATCACTTTATACCAAAAATGAGAAAAAATATTCATCAAAATTTGAATATTTGAATATATATCATCATGAAATGAACAAATCTGAAAAAGGTCCAACTTTATTGGATTTATTAGAAATTTGCCATCATTTTGTTCAGCAAAATACTTGGTCATTTTTAGTCCTCGTTCGGACGCAGTTTTGACCTCTGTGCATCTGTGCTTCCGTCCATGCGTGCGTGCGTCTGGACCTGTATCTTAAAAATGCCTGGACCAATCACAATCAAACTTCACACATACATCATACATCATACATGATGTTATGCATATGCACATCAATTTGTTTCACGATCTGAATTGCGTCAATTTTGTTCTAAAAATCATCAAAATCAAGCATTTCTCGGCCGTTACATAGATTTTGTTCAAACTTGGTATATACGTTGGACATTATAGGACCTTGACGCTCATCATTTTGTTTTTCAGATTAGATTAAAAATGGCCGACTGTCGGCCATTTTGTTTTAATAAATGTGGTTTTAGTGCCATATCTCTGACTTGCTGTGACTGATTATGTTCAAATTTTAAATATTCATTATACATCATGTCATAGATATACATATATCAATATAATATATTGGTTTGATGATCCTATTAAAAATGGCCGAATTGTGGCCATTTTTGTGCTAAAAAATCATCAAATATCCAGCATTTATGGTTGGATTTTGTTCAAATTTGGTACATACATTAGACATTACGGGTTCCTGATGCACATTATTTTATTTTTTGGATCAGATTCAGAATGGCTGACTAGTGGACTTCTAGAGCCATATCTTTGACATGCTTTGACTGACTATGTTCAAATTTTATATATTCATTATACATGTATTCAAAATGGCTGATTTTGTTTCAATTAATACTGTTCCAGAGCAATATCTCTCAATACTTGTTTGACAATCGGATACAAATGTCAATCATTTAAATGTTAAACAATCATCATAATCATATTCCTGACATGTTTATATTTCAGCTATATTACTATAAACAAAACTATATATCTTAAATTTGATAACTAACTTGGACTGTGCCATGCATGGCTTGTTATCTATAACTTTATAATGCAATCATTAAGTTTATTCAAATTAGTTACTGAGGCATTGTATTATTTGTTCTGTGATATTTTGTTTGATGAAAATCTGAATTTTTGTCTGTTTGCATGTTTCAAATTTACACTGTATAATTTGGGTGTTGAATGCCACATACAGCCAGACTAAACACACTAACAAATATACACATGCTAAAATGTTTAAGGTGTACATGTATATTATGGCCTTCGAAATTTTAAACACATTTATTGGCAATCCTGGTTGAACATGCAGCAGTAAATTGTTTGTTAATACCTTTGTTTATTTTTTACAGATTCATAATGCTGATCAGTTGTCTGATTGGTGTTGTCACTTCATTTCTACAAACTATATGGCATTTACTCAGCGAACTGAGTTTGCAGAACTTGATGGCGATAATCTTGATTTTATAACAAAGAATCGCTGGCCACCAATAGATTATCTCAATGAAGTGGAAGAATACAAAAAAA